AGACATGAACCTAGCACTCCTAGGAAGTCAGTGGTTGGGACAACAGTCAATTAATCAGTCCTCAATAGGTATCTTTACATGCACTGATTTTCCTCAATCGGAATGAAGCCAATCCTATTTCAGATTCTGAAAGTTCTGATTATATGAACCCCAAATTTGGCAATACAATTTAGATTTTTGCTGCAATTGTGATTTTTGTGTAAAACGTGTATCTTTGTGAGCTGAAAGGGTTAGTTCACCCAAAAATGAAAATTCTGTCATTAATTAGTCACCCTCATGTCGTTCCAAACCTGTAAGACCTTCGTTCATCTTCAGAACACAAATTAAGATATTTTTGATGAAATCTGAGAGCTCTCTGACCCTCCATAGACAGCAAGGATCCTAACACGATCAAGGCACATAGTAAACGTAGTAAGGACATTGGTAAAAAATAATCCATGTGACATCAGGGGTTCAACCGTTATTTTACGAAGCAACAAGAATACTTTTTGTGCGCAAAAGAAAACAATAATAACATAATTTATTCAACAGTTCTTCTCCCCGAGTTACCGTCTTCCGCCATTTTGGAGCGTACCCAGAACGTAATCAACGTAATCATCGTTGTTTACGTTCAGTATGTGCGCGCTGTCTACTGAACGTAAACAAAGTCCATTTCAAGGAAAGTCCGTTCACTCGGCGGCCGTATTTGCAACGCCTCCGGGCAGCTCAAACAAGACCAAGTCCTATCTAAATGACTAGATAGATAAAAAACTGCCTTGTGAACTCACAATTTAATTACATATTTCAAATCAGCAACAAAATCTGAAATGAACTGCCCCATGAATGTTGTTGCTTATGCTCAAATAGCGTTAGAAAAGCTTATTTTTTAGGCTAGACAAGCCAATTATGACTGCGCATGCGCATCGGCTGCTCTAGCCTCAGGTTTCTATGGGAACCGGAGCTTCTAACGGCTGCTGCAGTGATGCAATGACTTTACCAATCAGCGATTGGCTCTTTCATTTAGTAGGCGGGACTATTCCGCAATATTGAGCGTTGCAGTTTCTCCCATTCGTAAGTATAGGAGTGAACCGTCTTTGTATACCTATAGTCTTTGATGTAAACAGTGTTGGGTGTTACTGTAATTAAATTACTTATCCACTGAAAAAGTAAAGTAGGGATTACTGCTCATTTTTATGTAATTTAATTACAGTTACTTCTAAAGTACTTGCGTTACATAACAACAAAACATTGTGCTTTTGTAAAATAAAGAAAACAAACAGGGTGGGCTTTCTGCCGTCTCTGTCTCCGTGAACTTCTATCTGCAACGCGTCACAAAAATGTACCGAAACTCAGTGAATGCTTGACACACACAGCCATGAGAGATATAGAAAGCTTGAGGTGTCTACTTTTAAATGAACCAACTCAAATCGAAAACGAATATGGGCTTCATTCAGCGGAGGAGATCATTTCTGTAACTGTACATGTATGAAATATGGTACTCATTGCTTTGAAAATCATTCAGATATTTTGCATAGTAATTCTATTTATTAACCAAAGAAGGTTAAATTTTTTTGTTAAAATGTTTAAGTATTACATTTGTTTTCAAAATAAAGGCTAAACTATTCCACGTTTGACTCAAATTGAAAGAATAAAGAGTTCAATTTCTATTGTCTCTGCTTTAATGTTTATAGGGATTTTAACTAAAATTAACAATTTAAATAATTAAGTTACTTATTGAGTAACTAAATAACTTTTCAGACAGAGTAATTAGAAAAGTAATTTAAATACAATATTGATGATGTAATTAGTAATTAATTACTTTTTGAAAGTAACTTACCCAACACCGGACGTAAACAACGCTGATTACGCAATACAATTTCGATTTTTGCTGCAATTGTGATTTTTGTGTAAAACGTGTATCTTTGTGAGCTGAAGTGCTAATAACCCTTCTCTCTTAACAGGCTGCGTGTTCAGATGGCTGAAGGTGGATGATGTGAAGCGTGAGTTTCCTTCTTGCTCTCAGCTCTCATGCTGGTGTGTTCCTGTAGTTGTTGTGAGTGACGGTCATGTGTTTTCAGCTGTGGCGGGGGGCGTGGAGGTGCTGCTGGTGTGTCCTCCCAATGCGGACTGCGCCGTCGCTGAGCTGGTGTGCCGCCAGTGCTCCAGTCTGTGCGCCGTGGGCTTCAGCGTCTCTCTGGACCTGTGGAGCCGCTCGGAGATCAGCGCCCTGGGGCCCGTGCCCTGGCTGCACTCCTGTCTGGACCGGGTTCAGCAGTGCGGGGGCAAGGCGGTGCTGGTCCTGACCCAGGCAGCCTGCGAGTGGGCCGAGGAATGGGGCTGTCGAGTTGCCCAGCGGAAACCGGAAGAAGAAAGGAAGAGGTGGGTAAACAGGGGTGTCCAGTCACTGACGTGCTCCGAGGTCTTCGACGCATCGCTGAGCTGCATTCTGGCCGACTATCTGCTGGGTCGAGCCGGAGAGCGGTTCATCCTGGTCCGGTTTGATGGGCAGAGCCCTGCGAAGGCCCTGCCGGAGTTCTTCAGGGAGCTGCCTTTGTTCAGCCTGCCTTCTCAGAGTCTGGACTTCATAATGGAGCTGAGGCGAGGGGCTGGTAAGAGACAGAGGGTGTCAGAGCACTGGGTGCGAGCGGTGGCGTCCAGAGCAGTGTCACGCTCGCTCCGAGGGCTCCCTCAGGACTCTGTAGAGCCTGGGGCGGAGGAAGCCTGGGAAACTGTCCCGCTACAGGCAGACCAGTCGAGCCCTGCTCTCCTCACCAAAACACGCACTGAAGGCTGGGTCTAAACTAGTCTTAGCCAGACCTCTGGTTAAACAGCATCAGGTCAGGAACCAGAATAAACTGATAAAAACACCGCAATGCTACATTTCTACAAACCTGATGAAGAAACAAACTCATCCTAATCTTGGACGGACTGAGGGGGAGGATATTTTCAGCACATTTTTAGTGGACTCGTCCCTTAATGTGTGCTCACATGTAGTGTGGCTCAGTGAAATTGCACAGGTGAAATCCAGTCATTTCAAAATGAGTCCATGTGATCTGAAATTTAGCATTTTCATGTTGATCGTGTGGATTCAGCTCCTTCACCGACAGAACGCTGCTTGGTTTGAAAGTGACTTATGTGTGAGCTGTGCTTCATATATCACTATTGACAATAGACGATGGAGCTTTTTCACCCATGAAATCTTGTCTAAATTTTGCTAATGTGACACACCTTTAGACAGGAAGACACCGTGTGACCCACGTGTACATACTGGATGGTGTTCATCTAAAATAGACTGTGCAGAACATTTACTGAACTGCATAGCCTAGGAGGCGATTTCAGAAACTGCCCAGGTCTAAATGAACTCAGTCTGGCATTGATGTAAAAATGTATATAATTATGTAAACATATACCTTATCTCAAGCTCAGAATAGAGTCTGCTGGATGGACCAGAGCTTGTTTTACACAAGGAACCACACGCTGGACTCCCTCTTGAAAAAATGAAGACACACACAACATGACAGAACTCCAAAGACAAATGAAAAAAAGGTCAAAATTGTGAGAGGAGTCACTTTTTTCCTCTGACTAGTGCACAATTAAATTGCCGTGCCTTTTGGAGTATAGAGGAGGCACAAAGCTATATCTCTCATATAAGATGTAACTGTAAGCTTTTGAGTCAGGTGTACGGTTACATGAATGATTTGTCTTTTGTCAATTTTTATTTTTATTTATTTATATTTGTGGCTTCAAGTTGTGTGCCTATACAGTAAAAATTGTGACTAGTCCCAACTAGTCCCAGTCCCCCCTATTGGTTTAATTGTATAATAATGTTCAACAACTTGGGATTTTTTTAATTACATGGCATGAAGTGCGTTAAAATTGTATTTTAAGTTATGTGAAGAGATACAATCATGCAAACTGACACACAATGGACTTGTTATATATTAACAAGTCAGTCCATTGTGTGCCAGTACGCATGATGTGTTTAGCAAAAATAAAAATAAAAATAAAATAATAATAATAAAATATACTTTTGTTGATTAATGAAAAAAAAAATCGCCGTAAGGTTAAATAAAATGTTATTCTGGCATGGCCTGGGCGATGACGAAACGTGATCCACGACTTTCATTTTGGCACACGGCGGTCTGTGATTGGCGCATCAGAATCCTTCCTTGATAAGGATTGGCCGTTTACACACGGAAGGCGGGACTTGAGAGATCAGCCGCAGAGCACACACAGAATGAGCTAGAAGAGCGAGCGCTGGAGATGTTTAATGCAGAGACATTATAACTGCTCCTCGAAGACGTGTTTCTGTCGAAAGGATTTGGAAGCTGCTCGCCGCCCAAACGCAGTCTTACAAAGTGAGTATACGGAACAAAAATAATCGCACTTCGGCTTAGGTAATGATCAAATAAAAGCTTGTGAATGAAACAATGTTTCGGTGCAGCGTCGCGTCACAGCCAGCGCCGTAGAAACGTTGTTGCAATTTAACGAATCTAGTGTAGATGAGCAACGCTATGAATGACGGCGTTTATTTTAAGACTAGAGCTGTAATGTTGCGTGAACATATGAAGTCCAGCAGTCAGTCAGTCAGTCAGTCAGTCAGTCACTGCAGACGCTATTGGGCATCTTTGATCTGGCCTACACACAGCAGCATCAGCATCACATCTCAGAGCAGTTCAGCCCATAAACAAATACCACACCGGAAGAGGAACTGATGCTTCAGTGCTTGAGGATGCTGTTGAGACTGGCACATAAGAGCACAACACAGCTTTACAGTCAGGTCCACGATTCTGCTATCACTAGGGTTGGGTATAGTTTGAATCTGATCGATTCCCAGTTTCGATTCCAAGGTGGTTTAAAAAAAAGTCAAAAAACATTTAGATATCAAACATATTTATTTTGTGTCTCTTTTTGAAAAAACATTTAATTGCTGCTGAATACCATAAAAAAAATCAGCGGCTTCATAAAAACTGGACTCGATTAAGAGCTGTTTGTGTGCAAAATAGAGCTGCACGATTATGAATAAATTGAGATTTTTTTAAAACTGATTTTTTTAAATGGAGGTTGTAGTTCTCTCACAATTCTGAAGAAAAAAATATAAGAAAACTAAACAAAATCTCATGGAATTTATGAATGGAATGATTTAGTGACTCTTAATGAATCTTTTAAATGAATGATTCAAATACAAATACATTTTTAACAGCCACTTTTCGGCAGCTAAAATTAAAAGATGCCCACACAGGAATTGATAAGTGGAATTGAAATTTTAATTTACAACAAGTGTCCGATTCCTGACCTTTAGTATCCGATTCTGGAATTGGAATTGATTTTCGATTCCCAACCCTAGCTATCACGAGTGAAAATGTTTCTGTTTTGCATTTTTAATATAACTTCATACCCTTTTTATTTTTTACAAATAATATTGTCAACATAACAGTGAAAGTGAAAAGTAAAACACAATGTTTCATCATATTTCATATATCACACAGGATTCCCACAGTCGTGAACCATTGGGAAATATTGTGGAATTTAAAGATTTGGCAACACTTTATTTGAAGGTGTCCTTGTTACTCATGTTGCATGTACTTACTATTATAATAACAATAAATTATGCAACTATACCTATACTATTTTTCCAACAGCTATTGGAAATAGTTTTTGGAAAATTTCTCTGTTTTTTTTTTTTTTTTTTTGAACAACAATTTTATTTTCAAACATTGTCATAGAGGTTAAGACAACAGTTAAATTTTTCATTATAACTGAAAAAAAAAAACATAAATAAACTCAAAGATAACTCAATACGCTTAAAAAATAAAAATACAGCAATAACAATATTCTTACAATATTCAATATTTTAACCCAAAAACAATTAACGTTAGTGCACTCCCACATACAATGGAATAAAGTTCCCTTCTCTTTTTCTCTTTTTCCTTCTCTTGTTTACATTTGTAGCATATATCAGAAATATTCCGTTCGAATGTAATTTTTTCTAGTTTAGCACAAAATTTCTTTATAAAATGGTTTGTCAAAATCCTTATCCAGTAATCATAAACTACAGTAATGGTACGTAGTAGTAATTGATTGGCTGAGAGTATCCTGGGCTGGTCTGTAATGCATTAGAAAAGGTGAGGCGTGGCAGTGAGATGAGTGGTTCTGGGCTGGTGTGTGCGGTCTGAGTGATATGGACGCTGATGGCCGTGTGTGCTGTGCAGGACGGGATGTGCTGGTCGTGGCCGCTCGTGTCTGCGCTGGTGCTCTGCTCGCTCCTGTCTGTGGGGACGGTGAGGACGGCGCCCTGTCAGACCTGCCGCAGACTCACAGACAGCTTCATCAAGGTCTGGGTGATCTCATTCAATAGCTACTGCTCATTCTGATATCATTTTCTAACTTAGAGTGAAATAGGATATTCAGTCAGCTTCCCCTGTTGAAAAACTGGTTTAAGCTGGTCCTAAGCAACTAGCGTCTGCTCAGGACCAGCTTAAACCAGCTCAAACCAGCAGCCATGCTTCAAAACATACCTAACCAGCATATGCTCAGCATATTTCAACAGGGTCCATTTATATGAGGAAACAAAAACAAAATATAAAATAAAAATAAAAAACACACATGAAAAAGATTCACAAGAGTCAGTGCAGTGTTTCAACCAGTCGGGTCTTCATCAGGCACAGTCCCCATCCTTTTTTTGTAAATAAACATTCTAGAGCTGCAATTTTTGCCAATTTAAAAATCTATTTAATTAATAGTAAATGTGCAGACATCTATCTTTTTGTTTTATATGAACATGTTCTTTTATATACACATATAACAAAACATAATAATAAACAACATTTAAAATTATTTCAATATAACATCTTAATATAAAAGTCCCAAAAATAACAGAAAACTTACTGTCATACTTGTGAGTCCTGAGACAAGGAAGAGCTATGAAACTAATCTAATCATCAAAATCACAGTCTTGTTCAATTTGACCTGTAAAATCTTTGCAAATATATTGTGAATATACACCGTTGTGTAATTTATGCATCATTCTCTAAACCTAGTGTTAAGGTTTTATATGTTGACAAGAATGTTGTAGGGTTGAGTTCAGATGATGGTGCTTGTTTCATTAGGGTTTGGAGCGAACCGCCAATAAGAATTTCGGAGGAGGGAACACGGCTTGGGAAGAGGAGAAACTGGCAAAATATGCACGCAGGTAAACATCTGTACTGATCCGACTCGCAGCGTTATTACAGAACAGAGGATCGTCATCCTCATATATGTGATCTTAATGTTTGGTCTGCAGCCTTTGTTTCAAAGCCTTTTTTGTGTGTGTGTGTGTGTGTGTGTGTGTGTGTGCACGCAGTGAAACGCGTCTGTTAGAGATCGTAGAGGCTGTGTGTGACAAGTCTGACTTTGACTGCAACAGACTGCTGGAGCAGATAGAGGACCAGGTGGAGACATGGTGGTTTCACAGGTGCCTGTCTTCTTTTGTTTAATGGTGATTTACATTTTTTGTGTGTTTTTTTTTTTTTACATTTGTGACCCTGGACCACAAAACCAGTCATAAGTCGCACGGTTATATCTGTAGCAATATCCAACAATACATTGTATGGGTCAAAATTATAAATTTTTTCTTGTGGTTTTGATGATAATTCTATTTTAAACGATAATACTAACCGTCAGGGCATTTTATCGTGATTTATCGTGAAACCGGTAATCGTTCCATCCCTAATATTAAGTAAAGATCATGTTCCATGAAGATATTTTGTAAATTTCCTACTAGGGTTGTAACGGTATGAGATTTTCACAGTATGATAATTGTCTCAGAAAATATCACAGTTTCACGGTATCACGGTATATATTAAACAGTAATTTTTATCAGTAACAATGACTCTTAAAAGAATAAGAACAAGTTATTTGAGTGAACAAATCCTTTATTACAACAAACTTGAAACATTTTAATGAAAGTATTGAAGTCTCCCTTCTGAAAAAAATAATAAATAGGCTTAAATCTCATTTAAAAAATAATAAAAAAATAAAGCTATACACCTTATGTATATCTATATCACACTTAAACATTTTAATTAATGTTTTAAAATGTTATCAAATGAAAATTGAACAACTTTTATTTTTGGCAGAGGTATACTAAGTAGGGATGTAACGGTATGACAATTTCATATCACGATTATAGTGACCAAAGTTATCACGATTATCAATATTATCACGGTTTTGTTAAAATTAGATGAAAATGTTCAAAAAGAACTGATTCACACTGAAAACATTTCAATAAGTTTTATATTTGAAAATCAACAAACAACAAATACAATTAGCAGCTATATGCACTTTTTTAGCATAAA